CAGAGCATACACTGACCAGAGCATCCATGCCCAAACCATAATTCCGTTCGTGTTCTCAGAGCATACGATGACCAGAGCATCCATGCCCAAACCATAATTCCGTTCGTGTTCCAAGAGCATACGGTGACCAAAGCATTCATGCCCGAAGCATAGTTCCGTTCTTGTTCCAAGATCATACGGTAACTAGAGCATTCATGCCCAAAGCATACTTCCGTTCGTGTGACCAGAGCATCCATGCCCGAAGCATTTTTCCGTTTGCGTTCCAAGATCATACGGTGACTAGAGCATTCATGCCCAAAGCATACTTCCGTTCGTGTTCCAAGAGCGTACGGTGACCAGAGCATCCATGCCCGAAGCATACTTCCGTTCATGTCCCAAGAACCTACGGTGGCTAGAGCATCCATGCCCAAAGCATACTTCCGTTCGTTTCCAAGAGCAGACGTTGAGCAGAGCATCCATGCCCAAAGCATAATTCTTGAAGTGTTCCAAGAGCATGAAAACGTGATGTTGGTAGTGTCCTGCGAGGTTTTCGGCTTCTTTTCTTGCTTCTGTGATGACGTCCCCACATGCCCAAAATGTCACGTATACCATGCTTGTGGGCTTCTGCTGCGCCGCGTGCGTCTCTCTTATTCACTTCTTGAAAAATCCGTCAAGAGCGCCTCCCGGCCGGAAACGCGATTTTTGCATTTTTGAAAAATTTTTTTGCCAGATTTTTGGCTTCTCCTTTTGGGCTCATATTTTCAGCGTGCGTCTTGTGCGGGCGCGTTTTCCTAGCGAGATCTAGCTTGTCTTCGCTCCTGTTCTCTCTTGCTTGCCTAGTCCTGTTTCGCTGGTTTTCTTGCTTGCTTGCACGTGCTGGCTTGTGCTGGCTTGCTTTTTGCTTTTGCTTCTTCTTGCCTGCCTTGCTCCGTCTCTTGCTTATTTTGTTGGTTTGTTGCTTTGCTTGATTTTGCGTGCTGGCTTTTGAGGGTTAAGCGTGCGCGCTTGCTCTTGCCTGCTGCTTGCTCTTGATTGCATTGCTTTTAGTTGCTTGCTTTTGCGTGCGGGCTGGCTTGCTCGCATTGGCCTGGTCTGGCTTCAGCAGGTTTGTGCTTGCTTGCTATCTGCTGATGTCTTTTTGGATGTTTCTTTGGAGTTTCATGCTCTTCTCTGCTTGCTTCCGCTGGCTGAGGCTTGCTTGCTTCCTGCTTGCTGCTTGCTCGGGGTTCTTTCGGAAGCAGACTCTACGGGGTTCTTTCGGAAGCAGACTCTACTTGCGCGCTTTTTGATATGCTTTGGGGCCTTCTTGGGAGTTTCATGCTCCTGTTTGCTTGCTCGTGCTGGCTTGTCTTGGCTGGAATGCGCTTGATTCCGCTTGCTTGCTCTTGCTGCTTGCTCTTGCTCGCTGTTTGCTTGTATGCTTGACCTGTTTGCTTTGCTTGTGCTTGCTTCTGCTTGCTTACCTCTGCTCTTGCTTGCTTCTGCTTGGTTGTCCGTTTGCTTTGCTTTCTGCTTTCTGACTTGCCGCGGCTCCTGCGTGCTCCAGGGGTCCCAGATTTCCTGAATTTTCATAATCATCATACTGCAAAACGACTTTCAGGAAGTTCTGTTTCATTCACTTCAAGTCGATTTTACAATTATTTCTGTTGATTTCGTCGTCAATATCTTAGTCGCCAGCCCTCGCCTCCCACTATCACAGCGGGAGGCTCAGACTTTGTTGTCGGTGTCATAGAAACTGCATCTCACTATCACAGTGAGAAGCTGCCCAGTGCTCTGCAACGAAAGAAAACCCTGTCGGGCTAGCCCCCAACATGATTATCCCCTGACGGGTCCACCTTTCCACCCTATCTTTAGAGGACATCAGGCACACACATGGTGCATCTGAGCCCGAAAAGCTCATTTCTATTAGCGGGCGAGATCCTTAGGGCAGCATGTGCTCCACACGTGCTCTTACCACGAACATTGCTTGATGCTTTTTCGTTCATGCTTGTCAATCTTGTCACTGATCTTGCCTGCAGGCAGTGGTCCTGCAAAAAGCCTGTGCAACTTGTGCAATCCAGGGCAAACCTTTGTTGCAGCGCCGGCTTGGGCGACGAGTGGGCGAGATTCAGCCAATCTGCATGCTCAGAACATCTTAACTCTTGAAGTGCTGTTGTGCCCCAGGACCCTCGACCCTCCCAGGGCCTTCCGGGGGACCTCCCAGAAATGTCTTCCTTGCTGTCCTTTTTTCTTAGTTTGTCCTGTGCATTTTTGTGTTCCTAGTTTGCCTGAGCACAACGGCCTGTGCTCCTCAACTCAAACAAAGCCCCGGGACAGGAGACGATTCCCCATGCAGCAGTACATTGAAAATAGAAAGCCAAAGGCAGCAAGGCCATGAGTTGCACGGGAGCTAGAATGGGAGAAGAAATGTAGACCAGACCTTAGACAAAGGCACCAGCAAACATAAAACAACTTTGGAACCAAGAGACGCTTTCCGCAGGCCCCATTTCGGCATAAAACGCATCAATGCCATACTCAATGATCCGGGGTACACGGTCAAAACCTCAGCCCGTACAGGTATCCAGCACCCTACTTTCATGCACGAGGTCAAGTTCCGGGCATGTCGCACCTTCAACGTGAAGCCGTCCCTGCCTTCAAGGAAGTTAATGAACTGTGGCAGGACAGAGTGATCCTGGAGCGGAACCTTGCTCATGGTCACCAGTGAGCGCAGTGAACTTCCTCAGATGACAGACAAGCACGGCCAGGTGCTGGTCCAAACAAAACCGCTGTAGCATTGCTTAGAAAGGAGCCCGACAAAATGGTGTTTTTTCTGGCAGGAGTTGTGCTGAGTTTCATGACATCTGCAGCGCGTACATGACCGGCATCCACGGGCGGCAATGTCGCCCCAAAGGGCCTGCAGTCCAAAACACGGAATCTAGACTAGGTGATTCACGCACAGCCCAGCTCGGTGTTCGCGTGCTACCGTCAAGCGGCTGATCATCATCCGTCGCCAAAACCTCAGTCACCCAGGCCTTGGCTGAGAAGCGGAGTTTACCAAGCACTTAGCACCCTTTGCAATTCTATGCAAAGCTTAGTGGATCTACCTGAGGCCTGAGGCTCTGAGCTTCGGACGTCATACGGCGAATGCTGCTCCGGAATGAGCCAGTTGCGACGAAGAACGTCATCTGTCTTCACTCCGACACCATCCTCAGGAGTCTTGCGCTTCACATCAACCGTAACAACTACCTCACAATGCTTCTCTGATGCCCCAACACCCACTGCGGGCGTCTGGAAGAAACAGACCCTTTCTTCCTCTCCCGAACAGAACAGGCCACGCCGGTCCGTACTACAGCCGGAAGGGTTTAGGGTCATTATGTGGACTGCCTTCCAAGGAAGGATCTTTTGCTGCCCTAATGGACCACATCTCGCCCTACACTCTACCCTAACTCTTGCATGATACACACATTTTTGGACCTCTTTGAGCAACTCTGCCTGGAGGTCCATGGAACATAGCAAGTAAAGTGAACAATGAAGCTGCAACCCGACTACTCAGTGGGGCAACCTATCCTCCGCCACCTGAGGGGATTACAGGCAAGGCAGCTAACTTACTTATAGTTGCGCATGAGGTCCTACAAACCTCCAAGTATGGGCTTCAAACGAGCTATACTCCAAACTCCTAGAATCCCCTTAATAAACCCTATAGCACTCCCCTATATAATCCCCTATGCAACCCCCTGTGAAGGAGTTTTTTCATTCTTGTTACATTGGGGGAATGTGGGGTCAAGCGGATTGCTACTATTATGCCCTCTTCAGTAGGGGGCTCCCAAATTATGGGGTACAGTCTTGGGGCTCCCCATCATGCGGACCAGTGTACTTTGGTGTTTATTTTGGGGTCAAATATTTTGGGAAATTATCATATTGTGTTCTGTGCAGATTCTTGCTCTGGCACGTGCAGAAGGGCCACAGGTACCGGCTCTCAACCAGATTAGTGTTGCCAAAGCATGACAATTTCTATGACATGGAGCCTGCGACATGCTGACGAAACACGGTCCCAACACTACGTACTACAACTAGGATTCCCTGAGAATGAACATGCTTGCTGATGGGTTCCGTCTCAATTTCTAAAAACTTGGAAGGTCCAGGCACTTTTTTTGCCTGGGCCAGTCGCGTCCCCCGGCCATGAGCCGAGGTGCCCAGGCGGGCACACACTAGCTGATTACAATTGCGTTCAAAATGCAGCCGTGTTGCAACCCCATGTACGCGCCAAACAGCCTGCATGAAACACAAATCTGCTCATTCATGGCTGGATGGAAAGACAAATCCCTATAAGATGGCTGACGCACAGGGAAACTCTAGAAAAGGGCGGACACTCCCATAAGTCACGTCGAGAGGGATGCGTGCAGCGGAACGGATTCCTCAGGTTGGACATATCCCTTCGCGCCTCCGCGGCCTTCTGCTGTCCTTGGCACCATCATATGCCATCGCTGAACGCTTGCGAACTATAGTCTGCACCAAGTGTGTATGCCAGCCGCTGCCAGCCTAGCATCCGAAAGGCTCAACCTTGTGCACGGTACTGTCCCAGCCAGGAGAGCAGTCCTGTGAAATGGGCTTTTGATGCTAATTGCAAGGTCCAAGGTCAAGCCTGGTTCCAAGATGTCCAGCCGCTTCTTTGGTGTTCTGTATTCCCCTGCACTATTTTGTCCTTGTGTATGTAGAGGGCCGCAAAGCGCAAAAGTTCGTCCATATTTTTCAGATGCCTCAGATCTGGATGGTCATCGTTGAATGATATTGCGGGGCGGTCGATAAAATCCAACCGAGAGGCCATGTAACAGTCACCACCAGCATGAAAGATTGACTCTGCAGCTCCAGGCCATATTCGAAGTCGTATTCTGGCAACGCTCCGAAGACAGGCATCTTGGACGGGGCAATGGAGATCTTTTCAAGAGATGCCTGCGGCGCAAAGCAAGGCAGCGTTCACAGTCAGGACAGGCTAACAGTGACAAACGTCATACTGGTGGCTGCTAGCGCATGGCCATATGAGACTTCTGTAAGTTGTCAGGCTCGAAGTACATGACTTTGTCTCCATGCTCCCTCGAGAAACCAATGGCAGTTTGGCAGGTAAGCTCTGCCTCGTACTGAGCGGCAACGGTGCGCAACCTGTCCACACCACCTGCTTCTTGGACGGCCTCGCGGGACAAACAATCAGGAAGGGGAGGGATGTCTCAAAATTGCACCCTGCTTTACTGAGATACACTATGCTGGAGGTCGGGAGAGGGGCCTGATTGTGAGAAAGAGTCTCGAAACTTGCCACATTGCGTTTGGGGATTCCTGCAGGTGCTGAACATCTTAGTTTTCCGGTAGGTGGATGCAGCTCGAATTCAGTTTCGACACGCAAGCTACAATTGAGACGTTTTCCAAGCAGCAAGTTTGCTGTTGGTCTACCAGCACGGTCACAGGAGTGTGATCTATCCACTTATCCGTTTAATTTCCCGGAAAACAGTCGGACTCATGAGGAGCAAAGGAAACAAATGAAGGGAACTATGACTTCCAGACACTTTGAGAAACTCAACACGCTTTGCCTTATGGCTGCACGCGAGAAAGCTGCTGAAATGAGACTTTGGAGCTTTTGCCTGGTAGGTGAGCTCACTGACAAAGTAGGGGCATAAATACTTTCAGCGTTCAACAGTTTGCCCGAGGAGACTGAAACCCACATCTTGAAATGGCGAACAACATGCATCGCATGCAATGCTAGCCTTGATAAATTCAAGGTTCAGGTATCGCGTCCCAGGCGGCAAATTACTTTTTGGGCATCAGCTCTTCAACAAGAATCTTCGAGGTAGCCATACACTGCCTGGACACCCGCGGAAAGCACGGTGAGCACACTTGTAACCAGGTGCAGGATGCCGCAGGAGTGTCGGACTTGCATCTCTTAGAAAAGCTCATGGTGCAGTTGCTGCGCCAAGTTTCCTGGTGCTGTTCTTCCGCGACCACTTTGCCGTTCACGAGGCGTGCTGCCTACGGGAACTCAACGCATCTTGATGGCACTTGCAGGCAGGTCGTGCAATTTCGCACAGTGTCACGTGAAATGCGTGCAGTTTGCTTGATACAGTGGCGAGCTCTGGCAAGCTGGGGCTTAGCAAACACAGTCACCTTCTGAACTGTCTCTGAACCACCCAACTCAACCAAGATTCGAGGTACGAAGTCCCTAAACCCAACAAATCATAATGCTGCGCGGCGCCTCCAGCAACTCGAATCGCTCAAGTGCCGCAGACAAGGCTGAACTCTCCTGAATGCAAAGGCTGTGCCGTGTGCAGGGGCTCATACGACCCAAGTTTAACGCTTCAAGATTTAATGCTGCCAGTACCTCACACATTCATTAAGCGTCATCTTAAGCATCGACTAATTCATGAAGCAACTGCTGTGTGCAACTGCTGCGCCTCCAAGATCTGTTCCGGCTGCGAGCTGTCTGAGGAGATGGCAGTTTTACTGCCTCAATTCAGGCATATTGAGGCGTGAAAAGGGCTCCATCTGTTACACAGCGCACGGCCACATCTGCTTGCCTTGCTTGCCTAGCTGCTGGCAACCTCATCTGAAATTGAAATTGTGGTCACGGAGGTCTCGTGCTGTGGATCGCCGACGCTCGACTTGAAGACCTTTGCTTGCTTGCAAAAGCGGAGCCAAAGGAGGATCTTGATGTCAGACCTTTGGTCGCTGTGACGGACCTTCTCGCTGAGAAGCCAACACGGTGTTCCAAGCGGGGACGTCCACCACGGAAGAGGAAGTCATCAACAATCTCCTCTACATCCTGCTGCGGCAAAATGCGAACAGCCTTGCATGTCTTCGTGACTGATTGCACTTTGATGCTGCGAGGCCCACGATCAATCTCGACGGTGGCCAGCGGCTAGTGGAGCATGAGCTTTTTGCATCATAGCCGCCATGCAAGTCTCAGTAGATTGTGCTTTCATGCTCAGAACTTAAAGGAACTGCAGGTTAAACAACGGCATGTGAGAGGAACATTGCTCACCAGGAGCGCTGCTGCTTGCCCAGCCTAGACTGGACAGAGTCAAACATGTGCTCAAACCTACTGCACGTGCGCACATGACATTCGTGGCACGCTAAAACACGCATTTGACTCCTGCTCATGTTGCACCTGTTCCGTCACGGAACAGCAAAGAAATGACAAAAAGCTCGCCATGGCAAGTGCGAGGTAGCTAAGTAACCAAGGAAAAGGTCGTCAACCTTCCGGCATTCAATGTCAGCCGTGCAAAAGGATTTTGAAGTAGCGAGTGCCGTGTCACAAGGTCATGATTTGAGATACCTCGGTGAAATCATGTCCCCCCGAACTGCCATGAGCCAAATCCAACCATGGTTAGTGCTGACATAGGGACAAACACGCCACCATGTGTTAGGCTTTTGTTATGCCAGGACATTATCTCCAAGGCCGCAGGTGGCGCAATTGAAAAAGAAGCGCCACAGCAGTAACTTGCAGGGTTTTGTTCTCCAGTGGAGCGAGACTTGGAAAGTCGGCAGCCGCCAGCTGACTGTGAGGACTGTGCAATGCTTCGATGCACGCCAAGCCAGCTTGGCAAAGAACTGCCACTGGGCCTGTAGGCAAACTACAACACTTGTGTTGCTCAAAAGCATTTCACTTGAGCAATAGATGCGCGTGTCCGAACTACCCAGTGAAAACTACTCCGACAAGTCGGTGTTCTGCACACTGATTGCCACATGGGCTGCTTTGTATGCCAGCATGCTCGTGCTGCATCAGGGTCCATAGAGAGGGGTACGGTTGCACCCTCGTGGGTCTGGAGATCATTGAGCACGAGCTTCGCTGAGCGCAGCAGAAGATTCAGATGCAGTAGGATGAGGGATTGGGGAATACACCAATGGCTACCATCTGACGTCCTGACACTCCCAGCCCCTCACCTGCACCTCAGAAAAACCTGGCCGCTTGACTGGAATGCGAATGCTTCCGGGAAGCTGGTCCTGTATGACGGTGCATCGAGGTACTTTGCCCTGGAAGTCTCCAACATGCTCCAGCCAGGAAGGCTCGGCGGTTAGAAAATCCGTTGCAAAACATTTGTATACATTTGCCAACTCCTGACTCTGGCTTCGACAGGCGCAGGAACAAACACCTATTTGCCACTGGCGCGAACAGGCAACATATGTCTCAAACTTGTTGGCGAAGACAGAAGCGGACGTGAAACATGGAGTATCATAGCGGCGCAACTGCAGGAGCAGCTTTACAGGGAAAGGATTAATGCGCCAGGCCCCATGCAAGGACTCCGAAGACCCACAGGTGGCTTGTTTCCGCATTTTCCACACGCTCCACCTGGGTTGGACAGTATGTCGCAACAATGCTGTTACCTGTCATGCCTCTCTCAGCGCCCTTTAACTCTGACAGCGTTCAGCTAGCAGCGACATGTACTCGATGCTCTGAGGTCAGTGTTACCTTGCTCCTTTTTTGCCGCTGGGTGTCAAGGGCAGCGCGAGACCTTTGGTGGCTGGCCGGGAGGGTCGCCAAGCCAACCACAAAGCGTCCTGTCCGGACTTCGGAACTTGCAGTGCGATACAAAGATAAGAGAACAAGGCTTTTGCAAGCATTGGCACGCTGCAAAATCTGTTGTCTGGACGCTCTCATATAGGGTGCACCGGCACGAGTCTGTGGCTGGGTTCTTCACAGAGCCTTCAGTGTGGAGACAGCTCCGTTGCAAAGGGCTTTAGCGCCGAAGAGGCATGCGCCTTGGAGACGGGACAGTGGCAACGGAACTGGGAGGCTTCAAAGTCTGTCCTTGGGGTTGCTCGCAGTAGGGACTATCTCATTTTGGGCGTATGTACAGGGACCTGACTTGTCTTTGTAGCCTTGGAACGTTGACCTGACTTGGGGGCAGCTCACGTATTGTTGCGCTTATGACCGCCTAACTCTCATTGCATCTCGTGCGGAGGTCTGAGAAAGGCACTGTTTCAGGGAGTCCTGTCTTCTTCTCAGGCGAGATCTCACCTGAGCATGGCACATGTTGTCTGCATCCATCTGGGCTGTAGTCCAAACCCTAGTATCCCCCTCAATCCCCCTCAATAAGTCCTGCAATAGTTCCCCTATAATCCCCCATGTAACCACCCTTTGATGAGTGTAGTGTACACAATGGCTCCATCTGGCCAAGACTGTTTCGAGGTCCTGGCCGGATCCGTTTTGAGCCTCGTGCCTGAGACCGCAGGACAGGACACGCCGTAACACCGCCTTTCTCATAGCTTTTGTAGTCAAAACCATGACAGGACTGCTGCGGCTGAGGCTATTGCTGCTACTGAGGGCAACAATGATAGCAATGATTATCATGGTCGCTGTAACAATCCGTTGGCCCATTGCAGAATGGTAATCTGCTACCTTTTCATGTGATTGATGCACTGCCACCATCCCTGAGTCGGAAGCCCGTCAAACGAAATCTGCTCATCAGTGTCCTGCGTGGCGTCAAACGTTTTAAGATCATGCAGCCGCTAGTAGAGGAGTCAAGTCCCAGCCTGCAAGACGCGATGGTGTTTGCAGATTGGAATGCTGCTGCGAATCTGTGAGTCAGGGCGGTCGCCCCGAAAAAGAAAGTCATCCGGATCATCCTTCGCTCACTGAACAACAACTCTGCTGGACTTGACGAACGCCTCTTAGGGCCTTCACGCACAGCTACATGAAAGAGTCCTCGGGCGGCGTATCCAGAGGCTTGGACGTGCAGCACACCCAAAACCATGGCAGCATGTTTCTTTGTTGGAACGCAAGTTAGCGAAGCCCGTCCCGCAGTCGAAAGCGTGTGTAGCAGCGTGTCTGAAATTCTCAGGAAAGTTGGATCAAAAAGAGCTTAAAGGGTGACAAACTGCATCTGCTGTCTTTTACTGAACATTCATGAGTCATAGCGCCCTTGATGGGTCACGGCGGCCGCAACAAGGGCAACAATACCACCAGTGCAAACATTAAATACTTCGTCTTCGGAAAAGACCCACTCCCAAAGATCGACGTTTAGCCTCAGCAAGATTTCAGCTAGGCAACGATTTGCGGCGAACTTCGCCCAACCCACGTAAGACACCAATTTTGAAGTTGAAGAAGTGAGCGGATCATGTTAAACAAGCGATCCCAAAACCAAGCACCGAACAAACAACAAATGACATCCAGGGCGCAGAACTTTTTCGCAGTCGTTCAGATCTGTTGCGCTGACAGGCCATCTTCTGATCTGCAGCATGTCTCAAAAGCCTTAGCTGCTTCCATAAAGGCTACATCAACATGAGATCAGCAGGCCCGTGGTAAAAGCGCCAGGCCTTCATACTTTATATCAGCGTCACGTTATTCTGTCTCACCACTGTTGTTATCTGTGATTATCTGTGATTCCTACAGTTACGATACTGACGGAAAGGCTATCTTCTTGCTGGTTGGCTGGGCATGTCACTACTGAAAACCTAGGAGGCCCCGCCAGCCGGGTGCGGAGGCGATCCGCCGCCTGGGCGTGGCGTAGCGACCTGGGAGCGGGCGCATCAAACGAGATCGCTGTCAAGTCCACATGGTGAGAGTGCTTTTAGTCACCGATCAGGAAAGTCACAGTCACACACGACACAAAGCACAAAGCCTTGAACAGAATAGCTGCTGAAGCAGCACGCGCGCAATTGATGCATCTCTGGCTGAATCCTGGGAACATTTCTCGGCCCCTTCATGGCCTAATGTTTGCCCTTGTGCAGCGGTATTAGCGTGGATAAGTATGGCTTGAACCTGTCCACCTGAACACATCACGCTTTCAGGTGAGTTCCGCGCTCCACTTCCCGCAGAGCCTTGGATGAGGGCTTTAGGGGCAGCTTTGTTTTGTGCCGTTGATGCATCTTTCAGTGTAATTAAGGCCATGCCCTCTTTTTTCATATTATGGACTTGTGCACTCATCAAAACCGCCAACTACTGGGGCAGGTGCAGCACGAAGAGAAACCTTAACCTTAAACCCACACCCCTCAAATATTGTCAGACTACACTCAGCCAGGTAATCCTCACTTCCTACATTCGTCATTCTGTTGATGGATGAAGTTTTGCACCACCTAGAGAACCCAAACTACTGTAATTACTAGGAATGACCGGGTTTCGGGTGGTGCAAGATTTCCATCAACCGCTGCTCTGAAGGGTAGGCCAGCTGCTTCCGCCAGTTGTCTTCGCAGCTGCGCATTTTCATGCGTGAGCTGGGCCTCGCATGGGTCATAGAGGTACATGCAACAACTCCTGCAAAACATGATTGGCAGGCACCACAAGAACCAGTCGCCATGATTCTGCGACAAATTGCAAGTGCATACTTGCAGGTGCAGCTGTCTGGCTGGGAACTTTGCATTTTCCTCCTCCAGGCACTCCTGGCGAAGAGCTGGTCCTGCGGTCAAGTCGGATAGTGCCACAGCTCTACTATCTAGTCATGGCTGCTCTTGGACAGGTATGAGCTAGCGGGCAGCATGTTCTTCCGATGCTCATGCTCCGGAAGTTCATCCCCACCTGGCTCTGATCCTGGCGTTGGAGGCTCTGTGAGCATGCGCTCGTAATGCCTGATCCAACAAGCATTTTCCAGAGGTTGCAACGCGACATGATGCACATATTTTCGTCACGATATCTTACAATCACTCTCATACCAGCATTCCTTGTCGCCTTCCACGCATCAGCCAAGGCGCTGACGCAGTTCGTGCCAAGTCGATGATTTCGGCCTGATTCTGGCGGCCGTGACGGACATCAGAAACTGAATTACGAGCCTGCTAGAATTGGATGCATCCAGTCTTGCGCTTTGGCAATGTGGGAAGCACAGAACTACAAAATGCCTTCAGCAGGTCTGTCACCAACATTTCCCAGGAGGAACAGTGCCTGAGTGCAACATGGCATGGCTCAAACTTTGCTCGACCAAATTGAGTATCTCTCAACAAGCATCAGCGGGAGTTTGCGACTTGAAGGGCTTCGTTTTGAGGGCCTCTTTCAACAAAAACGTCCCTTATTTGTGACCGGCGTTTAAGAGACCGCCCCCTGATTTTTCGAAGCTACCATGTCGTTGTTGGACATCCCTTGGCCCAGGTCATGTTTGCATACCTAAAGTCACACACCCGGTGGAATCTGAAGCCAGCGTCTTTCACCTGCAGGGGATCCAGCACCTTTTTGCTTCGTGCGCGCTGCTGCTTTGCGCAGGCCCCGCCGAAAGCTGTGCCGCGCGCAGGCGCTTCACCTCTCACTTGGGCCAAGAGCGCAAGTTAAGGCTGCCAAACACAAGTTGGCAGAGACAAGTAGCTACAGTAGAGAATAAACAGGACAAGCAGGACATGCGTTTGCCAGCCGACACTCTGGATGAAGCCACCCCAGCCTGTGGAACAACTTGCTTCTCCGCTAGCTTCTCCACTTCCTCAGAATGCAAGCGGCGTTCAGTACAAGACGTACATGGTTCATCGTTCGTGTGAGGCAATGCAGATTACGGAGGCTCTTGTGTGATTGCAGGTGTCATCTCTGCTGGAACCTTTTCAAACCATGCTCAGTGACTGTCAACGACTCTGCTCTCGCTATCACTTTGGCCAGGGCTATCCTTTGCTCAGCTCGTGCTCGTAACCCTTGTCAATTGCGAGACATACGGCTTTTCACCAGCACAACAACCGTGGGGGACTCTAAGGCTGACCAAAAATCACATCTCCCCAACGCATCTCAGACTCTGTTAGTGCTGCCTTGACTTCCTTGTCCAGATCGCCCACATCTTTTTGCAGATCTGACAGCAACACAAATGACCAGCAAAAGTTCAGAAGTTTAGCCAGGACATTGCTGTATTTACGGTCGGGTCGGGAAATGTAGGATAGTGATTGGGAATCAGCTTGAACCTCAGTTTGACATTTGAAGCATGGCTCATGGCCAGCAAGGAAAGCAAATCTGAACATTTCGCCTGCAGCACATCCGGCCAACAGCTCTTTCAGCTCGCCTGTCACCTTGCACTGGGAAACATGCTTCAATATCCACCGATTCGTACTCATCTCTACATCCATCCCATGCACCCAGCGGAAGCTATCTCTGAACTAAGGCGAGTGAGCGGGATGCAACTGCTTGATGCCGGACAAGTGTTCTATACGATCGTTTCTATGGGCCGTCGTCTGACTCGAACATGCTGCGAATTGCTAAGGTTTCCGGCCCCAAATGCACTCATCATGATGGTAGGACAGAATCCAGCGCGCAAACTGCGCAGTGTGGGCTTCTCGCTAGTCAGTCCTCGTAGAATTCCATGGAAGAGGTCAAACTGTTCTGAGTGGTGGCCCTAATTACTCTTCTGCGAGCAGGGCTCTGGCTCAGCAGACGGAGGAGTGCCTGCCGACAAATGCCGCACCGAGATCCGCAGCCGCTTCTTCGTGGGCCCAAAGGCTACCTTGGAATCAGGAATCAGCAATCTCAAAGAAAGAAGCAGAAGAAGAATCAAGAAGATCAGCGCTGGCTTCGTAACAGCAAAGCTCGTTCCACGTTTTCCTGACTTTCAAGAATCTTCTGCACAGATCAGTTCACACAAGTAGCTTGGTGGCATGAATCAAGCCTTGCATGCCAAGCTGCTCCTGCCTGCATGAATTTGCCTGCCTCTTTCGGCCGCTGGCGTCCCACCACACAGCCTCCAGCCAAATTATCATACCAGGGCTCGCGCTGACATTTGCGCAGTCTTGCAGACAACGAAAGATGCGACAGAAAGTCAACAGCGAATAGCTTTGGCTGCTGCAAACACGAAAAGCGCGGGCAGCTGCTGCAGAAGGGAAATAACACACTGGGCAGGGCAAGGGCTGTGGCCACAGCACATTCTTGATTGTCAACGCACGCCATGGTGTTGCGGTTTCCAGCAGGGACAATGCTGTTGAGTAACGCGCTTTGCTGAAGGCATGCCTGGCATCTGCCTGTCGACTCTCCCAAGCATGGATTGCAGAACTGTGTTCGACCCCCAGAACATTCTAGAAGCATTGATCCCGTCCAAGCCTGCAAATGTGGACTCCGTCTCACCGGCCATGGCCTCGGAAGCTGTCTTCACGGCCTGACACCACATTCCGGATCAGCAATGTGGAGAGCAGTACAAGAAGGATACTGCTCAGTCAGCAACTAAGAAGGTTAGACCACTTCCTTGCCCTAATTCTACCACCATTGCGTTCTTATTTGTATAGGGCTTAGGGAGAGACCTCCTGGTCAACTCTCTCCATGCGGACACACACTATTTTCAGTTCCCCATCCCTGCTGACCTGGTGGAGGTTGTTTTCCTCCACAGTAAACTTTGCAATGGCGCCGCGTCGGATTGAGCACCAACCCAGTAGCCTTGTGACTTCGTCTGCAAAATGAGATCTCGCAATGAAATATGTGAGGCCTTGCGCATGTCTGCAAAAGAATGCCCCAGCAACCGTACGACGTCAAGAGTCAAACCAAGGCACTGAAAGCCGTGCCGCATTTGGTCTGCCACAACCTCTTGTGCACACTGGGAAAGCACGGCCGCCTCCTCGCCAGCATCCATCACCCTTCCTAACGATACCTGGCTTGCCGATCAACAGCCCTACTTGCTTCGCCTTGTCCCATAGCCATTGTCCCCCGACCATCTTTCATTGGCCTATAAAACAAGGATAGTTCATGCCATCATAAAAGTTAAGATGACTCCACCAAACAGCCCCCACACAGGTATGCCAGTCTAAACCGCTGTCGACTTACAGTTGGGTCACTGGAGGCCATGAAGGCGGAAAGTTGGAGGTACAACCCTCCACCAATCACCAATCCCCTAAAGATTTCCAGCTCTGCTTGAAGAGAATGAGAAATTTGGTAGGGCTCTAAGAAGGACTGTGTCTCAGGAGCTGCGCCTTGTCTGTGCCACTGCCAGGACCGCCAAGGAGGCGGAAGCTGCAGACGTGTCCAGGACTGAACCTTGGATTTTTGGACTCATAGACAGCAAGGCCCAGATGCTGTGGACCAATTGAGGTCCAACAGCAAGCTACTTGGACTGGTATGACCATAGGTAAACGAGAAAAAGTCCGGACACAGGCCAAAGTTGTGTGTCCACTGGCCAGTTAGCCGGCAGGAAATATGTCCAAGGTGCCCAAAGAACAGACCTTCCAGATCCTGAGTGGCACTGCAACCCTGCCAGGATGTTAGCCAAAGGGATTGTGCCTATGATCAAGATTCATGCAGCCATGGCTCCTGAGGTGAAATCGCGCCCGTACTGAGAATGTAGGCCCATGTGTGGGGCGCTATGCTGAGCTCTTCCATGGCGCGCGGCACACTATGCCATGCCAGGCTGTCAAGCATGTCAGTTTTCACCGGCTTGCATGCGTTGCTTGCTTTCCTACTGACAACCTCCTACCTTTCCAAGCAATGCTGTACTGTAAAGGTGTCTCCTTGGACTCAACAAGCCAACACCAAGCAGAGAGCTTCGGTTCTTGCCTCTACAGGCAACATCCTGCAAACTCCTGCGCAAGGGGTCATGCGGCGCCGTACTACTTGGAACGCTGCTCACCGCCGCCACCTTCGCAACTCTCACATGGCGGCCTTCACCGGACACGGGCCGGCATTGTGTGACTTGATGGCAAAATTGTGACGCGCTGTCACCTACAATATTTCCATAATGCTGATCGTGTACAGGCTCCAGCTTGCTACCTAAACTGAGGCGAGGATGATCTGCATTGAGTTGGAATCAAGCTTTCCACGGATCCAAGCCCGCTTGAATTTTCAGCATTGCTTGAGGACCTCATACGGTTCTCTCCATCTGCGGCCTTGTGCTTTCCGAAGGTTCCACACCCTCCTGCAAGTGCTGAAGAGTTCCGCTTCAAGTTGATGTTGGTCTCATATTATCGACCAAAATCCCACACGAGACCCGAATTATGATAACCCCAGAAGAATTGCCGTCGAAAACCTCCCTGCCATCACCCTACTGCTACTCACTACTCCTGCAACTGCTACGGCGTTGACGACGACTACAACAACTACTGCAAGAAGACTGACAAAACCAGTTTGTTGGCATTCTTTTCAAGAGCCCTCCTGTAGATCAACCAGGGCGTTTATCAAATGCGAAGTCAACATTACATGGCAAGTGTGCTGCAGGGCATTCTCAAGACTTCTTGCCGTAACAACAAACGAATCACAAAAACTCCGAAGAGCTCTGGTAGAACAATTAGCCCGTCTTTGGATGCATCGCCGAACTTACACCCTAATCTAAGAAGCATCTCCTCGCTTCCGTCGCTGTCAGATTGGCGCAGGCTCCCTGAGTCGCTTTGACCGGTGCATACACGGCTTACACATGCAGGAAGGGTTGATTCACTTTCGTTTGTTGGCTCGGTTTGTTTTGCTTGCACTGCAGGAGAACTACAGATGCCCAGTTGGGTTCCTGGCTCCGACGACTGTCAGGCCTAAGCTCACAATGTCACGTTGGCGTCTCATGAACGATGACTCATGCTAGCCGTGACGCTTTATAATATGGTTTAATGCTGCATCCAGGCCCCTCATGTCGTTCGCCTTGTGTAGGATTTGGGGACTGATGTCGACAAAACTAGATGCTGTCATGCATCGTGTTGGAGTGTGCATCTGCACTTCATGTATGCTGTAAAGCATACCACTAATATGACCTTTTTCAGTTAACTTATGGCGTCTGTCTATAGTAGTTTCCATTTTCTTCTCCATTATCCATAACCATAACCCCAACAAACTATGTTATAGTAGTTTCCATTTTCTTTTCCATTATCCCCATACAGCCCCAATATAGAACTCAGGCAGCTGCAGCTGCTGCAGGCTGGCCTTGCCATTCTGTTCGGCAAGAAGCTATGTGCTCGAGTTTACCAGGGTGCCAGCATGGGAAGCTGCTGTATTGGAAGTGCAAGCTCACGTGGAATCAATGAGCTCAACATGACGAGCAACTCCGAAAGTTGTCAAGGTCTGCGTTGCACTTCTGTGCAAGGTCTATACAGTTTTCTTTATTGGAAGTTGCGAGGCCATGCCCCATTCTTCCACTTTGCACCAGAAGTTGCCGGTTTACAGTACTGTACACTAACTAGGTCAGTTACGCCATGCTCCAGCTGAGAGTGCAGCCGCTTGCGCATCCCGCGCGCGGACAAGCCGCCTGGAGGAGATTACATGTCACAGTAACTGCAGTGATTCACTGTGGTGCCTGAGCAGACCCCGGCGTCGGCTTGTCATGGGCTGTGGCCCTCCAGCGCCATCTGCAAGATGGGCCAGCTATATTTGGGTCGCGTGAGAGCAATCACTGCACTCGCTGCGGTGCAGACTTGTTACGATGGTTGAATTGGTTCCCATGTCTTGGCAATGATCTTCTAAGCTCCACCTATCAAACACTTTATCAAACACTTTAGCCAGGCATGGTTCCAGTAAAGTTGCTCAGAGCCTTTGGGCCCACCTTGTGAAATACCAGTCAGCGCTGCATAGAATTTAGGCTTCCAATGCTTCGAATCGACGCCCACCATGAACCAGCCAGGTTTATCAACAATGCAGTTTTAGACGCTTGTGAATTTCTTCTTGCAGGTCCTTTACGAGCAAATCACCCTTTTTTGCGCTTTGCCTTCACCACGCAGGCCTTCCAGGCCCCCAGCTTTGTTGAAAGCATGCGCCAGCCTGGAGGAGATAAGCCTTCTTCGCCCCGCTTTGGACTGGAGTCCTCGACGGCGAAGCCCGGAAGGCCTTGCAGTAGACTAGCCCCCATTCCATTGGCATTGGCACTCCGCTCTCCCCCTGTGAAGGACAGACTGCTGAAATCCTTTCGGGAGGGTGCTAGCAGGTTAGCAGGAGCTGAAGGATGTGGCTTCGCCCACCGACTTGCTTTAGACTTTGTCCAGGTAGCCAGTTGGAATTTGGAATGTCTGATAAAGAAGTCAGATGATGAGCTATGATCTAAACTCCTAGTATCCCCCTTATTAACCCCTATAATGCTTCCCTAAAAAATCCCCTATAAAACCAAATTTAAGGAGTCCAGACTATGGCTGACATGAGCCTTAGGAAGAGAGATCAACGGAGTTGAGCTTGCACGGTGCGAGGCTTCCTGCAAAAGAGGGACAAGGGAGGATGCATGACGTGACCGATGATTGTATTTGACTCTGTCGCCTAGAAATGGGTTTCGCAGGGCAAACACGCCACTTTAAGCACAGGTGTACAAATTCCATGTCATGTAGCAGTCATGACTATGGATTCCTGCGGCAGCTTTAGGTGGATGATTACAGGATTCAGCTAAAGCATGAGACACCCTAAATCACAAATAATGAAATTTTATCCATTTCCTTTTTTGCCACTTGGTTCTCCACTATGGGACATAAACTCCGGCATAGAACCAGATAGCCCCTCTACACTCCAGATAACCCCCATACAACCCTTAACCCTATATCAGGTAGTTTCCCTAAATAAGGTAGTCCTTATGAAATTGACCCCCCAAAAAGGTACCCTTAAACCTATATGAGCTAAAGTCTAAACTCCTGGTATCCCCTTCAATAAACCCTATAACATTCCCCTGTATGATCCCTAATATAACCCCCTTTAAGGAGTTTAGACTATAGCTCATATGAAACTTGGTTGCTTGGCCTGGTCTTGCAGGCCGCGGGTATGGCCTCAAACAAGGGTTTTGACACCAGAGAGCCTAAAGGGTTTAGGGTCCAGGGTTGTGGATTTAGGGTTTAGGGGTTTAAGGGTCTTGGGTTTAGGATGATTTAGGGTTCAGGGTCCAGGGGTTGTGGATTTGGGGTTTAGGGGTTTTGGATTTAGGGGTGTTGGATTTAGGGTTTAGGGGCTTCGTCTTTAGGGTTGAGGGGTTTAGGGTTTAGGAGCTTTGGATTTCGGATTTAGGGGTGTGGGATTCAGGGTAAAAAAAAAATACGTGTCAAAGCGACAAAAAACGTTTGCTAAGCCACCCCAAAAAATTGTGGCTAAGCGATCCCTTCCCCCCTATTCCAGCGATCTGTAATGTACCCAGTGGTACTTGGAAGGCCCCCAAAATAATTGATAATAAATGGTTTCCTCATACAACAGTAAGGGAAACAGGTACTTGGACAGACTGATAGACTCAGGGGCTTGGGGACGATGGCCTATAAGACTATTCCAGTGTTCATGATGCAGGAACACGCGTTTCCTGACCCGGGGCCTCTACGTAGCTGCTAACTGTGCACGAGTGGATCCAAGACTTGTCAAGCTTTTCGAAGCGCGGACGTGCGAAAACTCTCCTTTTGGAGATTTGCGCGCTCTCCTTTTGGAGATTTGCGCTTCGTCCTGGTCTTGAGCTAGTGCTGCCGCGAGCCCCGCAGCACACATGTTGTGGTGATGACTGCTACACAGCAGTAAAACACACTTGGAGCCAGACCCAATCTGACAACAACACGACCTGTGGAACTCGTGACGAGGACGAATGCGAGAGTGATGCCGGTGATCAACATGGATAGAGCGATATTCCGCATTGCAGGTTTCACAGGCTGTGCCCACCGGTAGCTGAGGTAGATCATGACCTCCAGGTTCAACACTGCCAGGAATGTCACGCCAATGCTGTGCCCAAGCAGGTGAGCCAAAACATTATTCAATGGAGCACCTGCCGCGTACAACCCCAGAACTTCCTCCAAGCTTGCACCCAATACCCCAGTCAAAATCACGGGATAATACTGTAAAGGCATCCGAAAATTGGACGATGATTGAAGCAGCTCCTGCTGCAATGGCCCACGTACATACTCGTTGAAGGACTCCATGCCACCATACCAATCGTCGATTGCCTGAAGCACAAATCGTTTGTCGAACTCCAGGCGGCAGTCTGCCCCTTTCACATCAAAGCGACAAAGGCCTTCGAGCAGCATGTGCTTGCTGTGGAGCGTGCGTCGCAGCAAGTGCACTCCGAACCCAATAGGCAACGAAAAGCTCAACGACACAGCAAGGAGCACACCGTTCCAGGCAATGAGGTCCATCATGACTGAGAGCCAGAGCAGCCCTCCGACTCCAAGCAGGCAGGCCCACATGCAGAATGCGACAGTTTCAACGAAAAGCGCAGACATTGTGATCCTCCCTTGTGGGCTTGCGCGGCGATACGCTGCTATCTCAAATACACACCACAGTCTGGACATGTATGGAACTGACCATAAAATTCTCAGCTCACGAGATACACTCAAAAAGCCGCCGATGCCGTAGACACCCTTTGCCTTCTTTTCCGAATCAACCTGGTTTATGCTAACCACGTCGAGAAAGCACATTGACTGCTGGCAACGCGGAATATATGGGGATAGAAGAAGCCCAAGAACAGTAGCAAGATGGCCAAACACACACAGCCATGGTCCCATGTAGCAGTCCATCTGCAGATCGAAGTGTCGCGGATTGTAAGGGAAAGGCAACGGCAATGTGCCATTGCCTCCAAGAAAGAAAGCAAGCGCAGCTGCAGCGACCCAAGCTGCTAAAGCAACTCGCCATCCAGACTGCAGGAGGAGAGACAAGTACTTCTGGCGACCTGACGTTTGCCAGGTGTGAGAAAAGAAGATGTCAAAAGATGATACTTGCGTGGACATACTCCAGAGCTTCTGTCTGGCAAGAGGATCCAAGTCTACAGGTGAAGTTTGCCACAGCCAGGGCTTCTGTAGCGCAGTTGTCAGGCCAATCGCCCGAGCCAAGTGCTTGGAATCTTCATCCAAAGACAGACTTGCGAGGCTGCTCTCTTTCATCCCCAGCTCAAATTCTGATTCAAGCTTGTCACTTTGTATCTTCAGAACACTTGGGGTGGATTGACTTCCAGGCTGCTCAATATTCAGCGTGGGTGCCGCATGCACGACTTCCCTCTGCACTGGCATGACCGAACCAGTGCAGCCGCAAACATCAGCATCCTCGCAGCTGCTTGCCCTGTTGCCCATAATCAGCCGCCTTCGAAATCTCAAGCAGTAGCCCTGAAATGCCTGTCAGGCCACCCCTGTTTTGGCTCGGGTCTGTGAGTTCCGATCTCAGCTCAGGGGTGTACTTTCCCACGTCTGGATTTCCAGAACATCGTGGCCGGGCTCCTAGACCTTCTGCTTGAGGAACTTGGCAAGCTGCATGATTGAGGCACGTATCAAGGGGTTGCAAACTTCTCAAAAGCAAAAACAGATGTCCATGCTCAGGAAGCTTGAATTTCAAGGCCATACAGAATATGCCTTCTATGGTCTCAGCAAGCTTCCAATCACTGCATCCGGGATTTGTGCCGGCAATTTGGCCCAATGAAGTCCAAGTGCGCATTCTTCACCTTTCAACTTGCAACAGTTTGCAACTGTATGGGAAGCGCTTCACTACAAAACAGAATGAGATGCTGCCAGCAACGTGGCTGATGGCTGATGTGTCTGTGCTTGTGCTCTGCATAGTGACTACAGTGGCCGGCCAGGTGGACGAGCACACCGAAGTCAGTCTCGGCAAGGAGCCACGGCCTCAAGCACCTGCGCTCATCCCCAAGCATGGCAAGGGCCCTAGCCATCACCTCTTGCGCCCCCCCCCACTCACGGAGTCGCCTGAGCCTTGCCAAAATCAGCCGGTAGACGACGCTGTAGCCTGCGGGGCGGGCAGCAACTAGCCTGCCTCGACAAGTCTGGCGTGCCATGATACTCAAGCCTGACGCTCGACCCAGCACCAATCATAAAACCCTGCAAATCATAAAGAAGCACCTCAGCCTACTTTGAAGACCTCTGCTCTTAGACTTTTCCAGCGCTGGCGTTGAAAAGAAGCGCTTCGTGTGGTGAAACTAGGCGGCCACTTTAAAATTGACAGCGTGGAGAACCTCAATGCGAATTTTGTCTGATAGCCCGATATCATACGCTGTCGGACGGAGATCGATTTTACTTGTTCACCGAGTTGTTGGACTACTGATGCTGGCCCTTATTGACTAGTTATCGGTATATGCTCAAGCCAAACGAGGATGGGCAGAGTGTTGGCAAAGTTGATGATGTGGACTCCTTCCACCGTCGCGCAGGATAGACCAGACACGGAACCCGCTTTTGTCTCTATGCTGGCCGTTAGGGCGTGGTTGATTGAGGCACATGCCACGCTGGTGAAGTGCACACTTTGGCACAACAATGGGCGAGCTCGGCACTAGCAGATCCCGGTGTGAAACCAATGAAATCAGATCAGTGAGTCATTGGGCACCATACCTTGCAGCAGTTAAACACACCTAAATGATGGACCAGGTGAAGGTCAAAATCCGCATGGCTTCAAGAAGGAATCATCACAGTAGGCGTTGGAAACGCAGATTCGCATTTAGTGGGCAAGCCCCTTGATTTTTCTTGCTAGCGATCCCACAGAACCAGGAGGTCTCATGGAGCACCAGCCATCTTTTTTTTGTGTACCTTTCTTGGACAAGTCCCTCTGCATTCTGTCTTTTTCAGAAGCACTCTATGTCTGAAAGGTTGGCTTAGAGCGAACTCTATATCCCTCAACCCTAAACCCTCACCACCTTCAGAAGTAGAAACAAGCCCAGTGGCGGGGAATCAGGTCTGCTGAGGGACGGCCTTGGGTTTGCAAAATAGCCAACTGATTGGGTAATATTAGGAGTTTCGGGTTTAGGGTTTAACGGTTAAGTTGGGGGACATTGGGATAATGGAAAATAAAATGGAAACTACTATAATGGGTTATATGGGGTATATATTGGGGTCATATGGGGATAGTGGAAAAGAAGATGGAAACTACTATATTGTAATGGGTTACATACACAAGGTTTCCAGAACGGTTTGTGGCATTTTTGGCAAGTACAGCGCTGAGCGCTTAAGGGCGAGGGTGCAGAGTTGTCTCAAGAGCTTCGGGTTGGCATTGACTTAGTTGAAGCCCTTCTCAATCTGAACTTCGGTGGGAAAAGAGACATGTAAAAGAGAAAGAGAGAGAGAGAGAGAGAGAGAGAAAGAGAGAGAGAGAGAGAGAGAGATAGTGAGCACGCACACACACACAAACACACACAAACACACACACGCCTAAGCACAATACAAACCATAAGGCCATCGCATCTCTCCCAAATAAACCCCAGTAAAGAGGGTCCGCAGCGCACAATTCAAGTAAGGATTAAAAGTCCAGATCTGGCGAGCAAAAGAACAGAGTAAGAATCTAAACGCATGAAAACGCTAAGGCGACATGCAGCATTTGACGGCCCCTGGCACCAACAAAAACAAAATGCTGGTTGTGGAATCTGCTGAAGATTCATAGGAAATCAGACGGGGTCATGTTGGAACTGGGCCATGCTTTTGAAACAGCCGAGTTGGGGTCGCAGCCCCCTTTTGCAAACCATGGGGGAGCGTGGCAACCAAAACCTGAAATCTTAATCCTGAAAGAGCGGTTGATCAGGAAGGTTTTTTAAAGACTGCAACTATGGCATCTGAATGTGAACGGCCAGACAACGTGCCCCACCCCCGCACACATCACGCCCTCCAAATGCAAAGACTACGCACGCGCCCATCCAAACCTTTGCAGCACATGGCACTGACCATTACAGTTCTTGTGGGCTTTGTTGTAAACATGTGTAGACTATCATCCCTATTGGGTGCCATTTGTCAAAGGTGGCGGTCCAAGGGACTTGAACGGTGCTCATATCTCAGTGTGGCTTTGGTATTGTGATGCAAAGTTGGAGAGGAGAACAATGAGATCCTAGATGGCATGAATACTTGCAGTTCTCTAGCCACTATCTAAACTGTGGCACCGTCAAGTGCTCATAAAGCCTGACCTGGACTTACCCAAAATTAAGGGTCCCTTTTGTGGTCCCTACAATCAGGATTATGAATCCTGAGAACCGAGAGCCGCACAGGTCGCGCGGGCCGCGGGCGCGGCGCGCTGAGCTGGCACCTGTGGAACTTCAACTACTTTATCATAACGGGTATTTTTCACTGCGCAATTAATATGGTCCCCCTAGTATGCTAACTTAAATGAAGTTCCTGAACAGCAGCAACCCAGCCAACTCACACGCAAGGCGCAAGGAAGGATTTATTCCTGCGTGGAATGCTGAAAAGTTTGACAGGGTGGGAAATATATCATTTACTACCAGCAGAAGTGTCTTTATACGCCATTCCAAGCTTCTAAGAAACAGTAAACGCGAGGCATCTGGCAGTTTTTTGGGGTTGCTGGATTTGATTCTAAACTCCTGAACATCAAGCAGTATTGAGCATGAGCATGCCTCTAAGCTTACATACGGCAACCATCACCTTCGCCGAGTGTCGTTCATATGGAACCGGACTGGGCGACTGCGTGGGCAAGAAAGCGGGATCCCGATCTAGAAGCACCATGCCTAGGTCCAAGCAAGCTCCATATTAGTTTCCATGTCATTTTCCATTATCTAGACTGGAGCCGGTGAAGCTGTCCGACAGAGAAGGCCCTTTGTCATGCTAGGATGCTGCATTTTCCTCCCACTGTCATTGCCTGTTCTGCTCCAGCCAAACATTTTGCAATCCCAGGCTCCCTTGATGTCCACTTTCTTGTCACCTGCACGAGTTTTTGTGAAGCTCCAAAAACTCGTATAAACTCGTCCACAAGAGAAGCCGTGCCAACGATGCTGTGCCAAGTTACAGCTTACGCATCTTGCGTGCAGCGGTGTCCGCCAAATGGCTGCGTTTGACTCCTAGCAGTACAGCCACTCAATGCCACTTAGTTTGCTGAGGTTGGCAAAAGGAAAACCAGGAGTACTTCCGCAGTCGTTATATGAATGTGTCCTTTTCACCAGCTATGAGCTTTTCGAAGTTCTGCCACAGCATCTGCAGCTGTCCATGCAGCAGTCGCGTCTGCTCTGCCAAGAACTCCATATCTTCTATCTTGGCCTCTCAGCTGACAGAACATGTAGCTGCAGAAAGCTGCGCTCGATCCAAATGCCAGCAACACGGTGAGCAACAGAGTCTCTCTCATTCTCGCTGTGCCTTTTCGGCCACTGCCTTGAAAAATTCATCCCGCAGCCGCTCCAGCTCACTGCGAATTACCTCAGAAAGTCCACTCCGAATTCACTACCTCAAGCTTTTCTCCTTGCCCAGTGCAGAGTAGCTTCAGCCTCAAACGCGCCAAAAGTCTCTCTGAGGACTTGTGGCGACCTCAGAGTGGCCATGGGCATGTGCAATCGGCCTTCTTGATCTGTAAGGCCTGTTCAAACTTATGGACTCCTGGCATGGTAGTCGTGTAGCGAAGTAAAGTCTTTTGGAGGACGTGCAGTTTCTAGTCGAAAGACACGAAGGGCATGCCAGACTCCGCGCCAAACAGCAGCTTCTGCATTGCCACCAGTACGTCCATCTGACCAGCAGGCTTGCATGCATGCAGCTGGTCTTCAAGTGTCTCATCAGCTGGCTATCTAGCCATGATCTGAACGACATCTTCAGAAAAAAAGTAGGCCAGCAATAGGGGATAACATGGGGATTATACGCGTTGTAATTTATTAGCAGCAGTCCTCGGCCCCATCTCCAGCTTCGCCCGTGCCACCACCGTTACGTCGCAGAAGTTCGCTTAACATCTGCAGCAGCTGAGGCATCGCCGCCTCGAAGCGAGTCTGCCTGGGCATTCTGAGGCACACGAAGACAAACATGCACAAGCAGAGCTTCGCTGGGAAAACTTGCATTCCAGCATCCGCCAAGCCAGCAAAATAGCCCCCTTTGCCACTCAGAAGCCAGAATTGCTGTCAGGCCACAATCTCAAAAAGTCTCTGACGGCATCCTCCATCTTGGAGGACAGGATGCCCAGAGTCCGCTGATCGCCGGACACTGCGCACCACAAGTCTGACAAGCTGCGCTTCATGTCTTCATCCCCCTCCAGCCTGCGGCAAGCACTGGCGTGACTGTGCAGGGGCCATCGGCCCGAATATGTTACAAGAACTTGCAAGCAACATAAAAGTGCTGTGTGAGCCGGCCTGCGTGGTGATCCCAACTTTGGGGAACCTAAGAAGCATGAAGCCAATCCTGCCCAAATATGCCCAAATCCTGTTTTCAACCAGGACAGGAGCTCGTCAGCAAACCAGATTGCTGTCAAGATGCCATCGGCAAATAGAGGGCTCTTCGGTTCTGTCTGCCCAAACTGTGCGTCGGGGATTTGGACTAGCCTTCATCGAAGACTCACAATGTGAACATCGGAATTTTGCAGATTGACTCACGACATCTACAGTTTGTAGTGGCGCACTCGTAAGTCGACATGATGCTGACTTCTGACTCAGTTTGTCTACACCTGGGGTCGGGTTGCTTGCGTGGCAGTCGCCGGCAGAATTTCACCAAGCGGCTGTTCTAGCACACCAACTCGGTTGCGAACTCGATGGACCTCTTCGCCTCATAGTCGGAATAAAAGCATTCATTGGGGGCAGTAACCACAAGAAGACTTACCGCTGAATGGTGCAAGGGACTATACTACATTGATTCAAGGAAGCCTGTGGCCAACCCCGGCTTCGCAGGAGGTGCTAAGCTTCGAAGCATAGCACTTCACCAGCCAATCTGGGACTGGGTCTAGGTGGTCTAAGAAGATGCTGACGCCCCAAAAGCAGCTGCACACATCCTCCGAAACCCTTCAATCACATGTATGGTGCTGGTGTTCAACGTGTGATGCAGCAGCAGTCATGCAAAGCCTGAGTTACAATGAAGCTTCCGTTTTTTCACTCAACATGCTGCGTGTCTTCTTGCGGTAACTATGTGTTGGGGGGGGGTGTAGGCAGGGTCCGAGCCAAGGCGCGCAAAGACAGTACCTGGCTGACACTTGCTGGGCTGGGACCATTCAGAGCTCCAGCAGCTGCCGGAACAGGCCCCCCTGCCAGCATGCGCACAACTTCAATGCCAAAAAAGGACATTTTGCTTGAACAGCCTGCCATCTCTTCGCCGTCAATGTTCAAAATAATTAGCGTTGATTACAGTCTGCAATTGCTATCGCTGGAACTTGCGCCATGCGTCCACAACGTAGCAAGGACACGTCTGGTTAAGTCGGGCCTGAGAAAACAGGTCGCGAGGTTTCCAGCAGTGCGAGGCGCCTTCGTGAAGGCACGGAAGCGATGTTGGTCAATAGGACTCCATAAGATTTCTACACTCTCGTCCTAGGCGTAAATCAGACCCAGTGACTCTTCCAAGCAAGCACCCTCGAGGGCCGCCACCCGACCCACAAGAGCTGCATCCTCGATGGCCGCAAGACGCGCAGCCAAGTTGGAAGTACCTCGAAATCTCAGAGGGTCTCGGCCCAAAACCTACCTTCCTACGAAGTCGTCCTTCTCCTTCATAGGATCCTCATAGCTACATAAGTGCCCATCTATGAAAAGCTGCAGCATCCACACGCCAAATCGCCAAGCAGCTGATCTCCAGGTTGGACAACTTCTCGGCCGACTCTGCTGCCATCTCCCCGGCCTCGTAGCAAAGTGTCACAACTACGAGTATAAGATGTAATAATCGGCTGATTTGAGTCTGAGTTACATGTTGCAGCCATATGGTTGATCATGGTTGTAGCGGGTTTATAGTGGTGCGGTGGTCATGGTAGTTGTGACGGTCGTGATGATGGTCGATGGCGGTGGTCATGGTGGTGGTCGTGGTTTCGGCTGCAGTGGCAGCAGTAGTCGACTTTGTCGAAACTACAGGTACCATAGTAGTAGTAGCAGTAGTAGTAGCAGCAGCAGCAGTAGCAGTAGCAGTAGCACTAGCAGTAGCAGCAGTAGTAGTAGTAGTAGTAGTAGTAGTAGGTGGTGATTGTGCGATCGTCCCATCATCAAGTATGGGTGCAGGAGCTCAACGGAGCACCTGCCACTGCACACCATGCTATGTCTGCGTTGTTGGGTGGTTTTATCTTACCAATTTATCTGCTTCTTGGGGGTGCTGTCCCCTAGTAGTGGTGGTGGTAGTAGTAATAGTTGTAGTGGTAATCGTCATAGAGTAGTATGAAGAAAAAGCACCACAGCTTGAATAAATCCACACATGACTCCAACTGTTTCGCGGGCTTGCCTGACCACTGCACATGCCATGGTCCCTGCATACACTCACTGACTTCCTCACACCATGTGCGCAATACTTACAAGAGCTCAAGTCAAGGTCAGTGTGGGGCCATGCACAAAACATTGGGTCATGCCGGCGGTGTCCGGATGCAGTGAAATGTGCAGCAAGAAGACTGCGCTTGACAGTGCTAGCCGACCCGTGTTGAGATGCGTTTGCGAAAAGATGACGAGCAGACTTAATATCCTGCTAAGGCATTGCAAGTGATGGGCAAGGTGGTCCCCTTGTTCCCTCGGAGCTTTGATGCTATTGCCTGTGGACAGTACGTTTTCCACGCTCTGTGCCATCTTGCGGCCACATATCCTTGGAACAAGTGAATCACACTCGTGGTTTTACTAACTGGGATTGCTCTGGATGTTTGCCTATGTGAGTTTAATTGTCGGGAATGTGGACATTTGCTCTGGGTTGTTCGCTCCTGCTCCACATGGCTGCTAGCGGCACAGTGATTCGGAATTATGGTACATCAGATTGAAGAGGCAACTTGCGAAATGCTTCGCGCTCCTGTAGTACCAGTGCGCTCTAGAGATCTACAACTGGAAGCTCCCGGAAAGCCTTCCACCGTTGCTTCGTAAAAACCCTGCTTGTACAGTGTAAAGAGTGTGGTGTGCAATCCTTGTACTGTTTGTTGGGTGTGGACTGGAGCTTGCTGTTGGCGATTCGTAGTGGAGCTCCCACCTGACCGTGTATCATGCGCTCTCGAAACGCAGGCGCATACTACGCTGCCGATAACGTGTACACGGGCTGATCAGCCAGCTGTGATGGAATGGAATAGCCGTCGTCGTCCTCGGCCTCGTTGTGGTCTTGGTCGTCGTGGTCGTGGTCGTGGTCGTCCTTGTGTAGTCGTCATCGTTGCAGAAGATGTTGTGGCAGCAGCGGTAGCACTAGAAGCAGCAGAATGATAATGATGATGATCATGATGACAGTGATAGGTTGTCAGCAGAGAAGTGGCCCAGGCCAAAGAGTCATGCTAGTCGACACTCGGCATGTCCAGGCGAAAAGATGTCAACATGTTCTACGAAGCACATCCGCCGTTAGGTTCCCCCGGCCCCAAAATCGGAGCAATTGGCAGGGAGCATGCGGATGGCAGACAAAGGCCCAAGCTCAAAAGCCTACTCCGTGCTCCATATTATGTTGGACGTTCTCGAACTAATCCAAATTTTCCCCCTTCAAATCAATCCTCAGGGCCTCAGAGCGGAGGAGCCTTACAAATGGATCCTGCTTTGATTTTCGGCGCTCGGAGTGGCAGTATTAAACAGGATCCCAGCTTAACAATGAAGGAAGCTTTTGCAAAGGGTGTGCTTGATAGATTGATAGCAAAGGACCGGCAAATCAATCTCACAGCAAATGGCTGCGCCTCCTGCGATTGCGATGGGCCATCGTCATGATCGTCAGAGATGTTGCTGCGAAAGGAGTTGTGTTTCTGGATGGTCGGAGGCATCAGATCTTCAGGGAAAACAGCCGCTGCAGCCAACCCACAAGGCAAGTAACTATGTCCTGCTATCTACACGCAGGGCAGCGATTGACAACCCGGGATACTGTCAGCTGTCATGGCGTGCTTCCCAAAGCCTGTGCCCCGCCTTGGACGAGGTCAGTCACCTGGTGCTTCATCCAAGACCTGTCTGAAGCTGCACTCTAAGGCGAGCGGCTGTCCTTGACAACCCCTCTTCCTTCGGGTCGTTTTTGCTCAACAGAGGTAGCTCATGCCGTTTTTTCCCACCTTGCACTCCTTGTCTATGAATATCTGTCAAAACCGATGACACGCAATGACAAACTGTAGAGGCACGATCGGTGCGAGGGCGTCAGGTGTTGGCATGAAGGACTCCATATGACTCCATCACACCCAGGCTTTCACATGTCGAACGAGGACGAGGTGCAGTAGCTCAGCACCGGTCAGCTCTTCCTGTTCAGCGGGCTCGGACTGGTCGGTGAGAGCGCGGATCCTTTGAAGATCTTTGAAGAGTTGAAGGCTTGGAAGGTGCACATGAAGCACTTTCGGCTCAGAAAAAGATTGCGGCGCTTGCTCGAATACGGGCACGAGGCCACTCATGAGGCTGTAAACCGCCAAGCTCATTCCCTCAAAGGCTTGGCCAGGTTGGGAGGGGCAGAACATCTTGCAATCAAGATCGTGTACTGTTCTGAGTCGCAAAGTACTGCGAGAGCTGCGACAAGCACATGCCTCAACAATCAGCACAATTACTATTCTCCTCAAAAGTAAGAGGTTTCTATTCTGAGGGCTGCTTCACCGAGCGTCTGCTTTTTCAACCACGCGCCCAAACCGTCACCTGGGGACGCCAGCTAAGGTGGGCAAAGTTGCATGGCAATTGCCTGGGCCCTGCATCTGAGACTGACTGTGTTGATCCAAGGAGCCTTCGCCGCGAGAAGCTTCGTGCTGGGGATCTGCGTACACCTCCTGCCGGGTCATAACCCGATTCAGAACGTGCAACTAATTCACCAACACCGGCCCTGAAACTGACATCCATCAACATATCAAGGAATGCAGAAACTTACGTCCTCCTCAGGCGGCTGATGAACTTCTTCCTCAACGGGCTGAACGGGACGAGGCGCTTCTTCCAAGGCCGTCTGCCGCGCGAGCAGGTTCCTTTATGCAACGAGAGCTGAGAAACTAGTGGTACAGTGTGATATCTGTCTGCACAGTGCAGGGAACTCTTCATGGTTCTCCTCAGCATCATCTCCATGGAAGTGAGCTTGTTCTCGACTGGAGTCACTTTGTTCTCCACACACTCCGCAACGCGCTGGTCCATGCGTTGGCTCATGGTTTTGTTCGCGTTTTTGAGCAGCTCCTGTATCTCTGCCTTTAAGCCTCGCATATCTCCAGAGAGGTCGGCTTCTAGGTGGTCAAACTTGCCTTCGATCCACTTTGCCATATCACCCTGAGAGGGGAATCTACCCTCGCCCCAACTCTTGACCAGCTTTGGGATCACTTCTGCCACTGCTGGGTCGAGCCTGCTGCCATCCTTACCAGGCTCAACATGCTGTGCACAACTGAATTGAAAAGCTTTGAAAAGCTCTCCCTCCTTCCTGCAACAAACCAGCCACTTGGACTTTGCTTCCCATTGACTGTTGGGATTCTTGGACATACCGCAGCGGAGGCAGCAAGAGAGGGGTAACAGCAACAGCAAGCAGAAGAGCAAGAGCAATGATGATTCCAAGCAACATCTTAAAGGCAACAACGACATCACCACCATTACAACATCATTCACAACAGCTGCGAGAGTGAATACCAACATTGCACGCCATCGATCCTGGGGACAAAAACAGAAGTCGCTGTGCTCGCATCCTTGCTCGTCGTTTTGGCGTGTCGGGTGAGCAGAGAGGTCCCGTTCTCAAGACTTTGAGGAGAACAGGTGACTTTTGAAGTTTTGCTGTTGCCTGAGACCGGTCTCGGTTGACCATTGTATTGCAGCTGCAGCTGGTCGACTTTGCGACATCTGCCATATTTGCAGAAAGTTGCTGCGGAAGCTGGGCTTGACTGGCGACGGTTGCCGAAGCTTTCGATCGAATGCTGCAGGATTGCTTTGGAGGTTGCGGCATGTTCCAGCACAGCCCCAAAATTAAGTTTGGCGATCCTAGCTTGACATACGAGCGCACGCCGTTTCGTATCCCAAAAAGCATTTC